GGAGCAAAGGTGATCCAGAAGTGCCTGTAACAGGTGTAGTAATTGTAAATTTTCCCCTCCTCCTCTTCAGATACAACTAGGACAAAAGTCTGGGCTTGTAGGAGGGATGGAAAACCCCTCTTCTTCCAAAGTGGTCTTTGAGTCTCTGTTTCTCCAAAAGTCACCTTGGAGCACAAAAGAATAAATCTTCACTAAACTTCTGATTTACTGGACCTGCTTAAGCCCTCTGGGGAGTCCCTGTGTGAAGTTCTGTGCTCATCTTCTCCATCACGGTTGTGAGTGAGCTGATGGCTGCTCTCAGTGGTAACCCAGGGAAACCACACAGTCAAATAATTTGAGGGACGACTTGACGAAAGTGAACCACATCAGCATGAAGCTTGGCAGAGCCAAGGGAGCAGTTTTCTGTACATAAGAAATGGGAAGGGTCACAAACCCGAGAACTGAGTTCTGGTTTTGTGTCCCTCTGTTCTTCCGGTCCCTTCCCCCATGTCTCTCCCACGTTCCCATTTGAAAGGAAGATGAAAACTCACATTGTGCTGAATTCTCTAGCATCATGCAAAGTCTCATTTTTGTTGAGTTGACTGTGAGGCTGATAGCTGCATTTTTTTCCCTTCCAGGAGTTGGACCTAATTTCCATAAATTTCCCATTCCCATGAGCTTATGAGGCCCCATCCCCAGCTCTGCTCTGTCTGCTGTGTCCTGCAAAAATCCTGCATAATTTTAATGATTCATATTTCATTTTAAAATCACCTTTGGCAATAGAGGGCTAAGAGAAAGCTGGGACTAATAGTGCATCGTTAGAGAGCCAGGAAGGCTCCATGCCTGGGTGGGGCAGGACTCCCACGGCCACCACGGTGGGGCAGATGCAGAAAAACGATTCGGGTCTCTGACTGCCACTGCTCAGGCAGTGCTGGAAGGGAAGGTTGTTGTTCTATATGAAACAAAACACAATTTGGTCCTGAGGACTAATCCCATCCCACAAATGCTGCCAGCCTGGTGCTTGAACGGCATTTAGGATTGTACTGATTACAGGAGTGACAGCAGCATGGAAGTGGGTTAGTGTTTCATTCTGTCCTGCCAGTGGCAAACATTGTAGTATCGGATTTTTTTTTTTTTAATGAGGATTTAGCACACAGTCATGGGGGTTGTGGTGTTGGGTTTTTTTTAGGCTAGAGAGCAGCCAGTGCTAAGCCTTTGCATGCACAGCTTTGGGCTTCTGCACTGAGCTCATTCTGTGCAGCTGTGCCTGTCGTGGTGCTGGGCAGAGATCAGGGGTCTAGGGGGTTCACACTGATGCAAACACATCAGTTTTGATGGGGAGGAGAATCAGACTGAGCTGTGCTTGGATAGGGCAAAAATGAGACCAGACCCCTCTGCTTGTGCATCCAAACAACCCTGAACACTGAATTAGTGTAGATCCAGCATCACACAAACTGTCCTTTCCAACCTAAAGCCTGAGACATTCAGGTCAGACATGAGCCTGCACATTGCCTAAATCCTTCCTGGGGCCAGAGTGATCTGTAAACATTCATGAGGACCCAAAGGCTCCCACGGGTGTTCACTGACAGCTGTGGCCACCTTAGCCCACTGATCTTAGGAGACAGTGTAAAAAATCCCATTAAACACCTCCACAAGTCTCCCTGCTCCTGAGCTTTTGAAAATGTAGTCCTGAATTCCCAGACCAGCTCCTCTTGGGCAAGTGGGAAATTTTCCACTGGCTTTGAAGAGCTGTTTGAGGCACCAGCTCCAGCAGCATGCAAAGTCAGCTAAAAATGACTTTGCTGCATTGATGTGCCCAGTGTGCTGGGGTCTGGGCTCATGCAGCCCAGCAAGCAGCTCAGTGGAAAAACATGGAATACAAGGGGTTTGCAGGAGTGGGATTGGCTTTTCTAGTCTTTTTAGCCCTCAGGAATTTGTGTTTGTAAATAATTCTTTCAACAAATTAAAGCATTCTGCTACTGGGGAATATATTGATTTGTTTGTTTGTTTGTTTGTTTGTTGTTAACTTTATGAGAGTTTTGGTACCAATCGAGACAGGGTAAAAATCTTTAAATATAGTCTTTGATAGAAAGTATGCAATATTCACACTTTTAGCATAACAATTCATAAGAGGGAAAGTCAGTGCTATTCTAGACAATTTCCCAAGCTCCTTAAAGACTTCTCAATGCAATTATGGAATGAAACAAGGTTTTTAAGAAAGCTCAGGAAAGACTTTCTGAGTTCTGCAAAATTCTATTAAGCAAGGCTAATTTATAGCTAAGGCGACGTTTTTTCAATGAAAACCAATAAACTCTGAATCTCAGGTGACAGAGGGAAGCATTCCCAGAGTTAAGTGCTGCATTTTGCTGGTGTGCAAACATTGCTCAGCAGTGGGAAAGAAAGACATTTGGCAGCTAAAGACACAGAAATAGGAGTGAGAATTGCAGGGCTCATTTCTAAGTCTGAGCAAGTTATTTCACCCCTGTGTGCACCAGCTCAGCCCAGCAGCATCATGAAGGTTGAGTAAACCAAGAAGGTTCTTTACAGACACAAATTACTCTCTTATTTAGTACCAGCTGAGAAGTTGGTCCTTACTTAATGATCTGTCTTAGGCTGTGGAGAGGACTCCAAAAGATAACTCTTCTTTATCGAAAGGAGGCTGTGAGATCTTTTAGAAGCTTAGAAAACTGCTTTATATTTAGCAAAAGGGGTCATTAACAGCTTGTAATAGTGGGGTGTATCTAGGAATTCACTCAGTCCAGAGGAGTTCTATTTTTATTACCAGCATAAAGGAGAGAAGATGTTCTCATCATGTGGGTTGTCAGGGACAAAGCCCAGCTGGTGGTTTTGCTTAACACATTGAGGTCTGAAGCAGAAAGCTGTAGGGGCACTTCATTCCATCTAAAGAAAACTCTGGCAACAGCAATACCACCTCTGTCCACCAAATGAGGAGTTGCATCTTCAAATTTATGGACAAAGAAATTGAAATGCTTCTGATTGCCAGTGCACCTGCTCCTACATGCTTATGTGCTTCTTATTGGTTTTACTGATCCCCTGTAGCATCTTGGGGGTGTGGGTGGATTGTTTCTGTTCACCTCTGGCATTTCTGAATGCCTCCAGAGCAAAGAGACCACAAATCTGCACTAGACACTGAGTATACAGAGAATCTTGTCCACTCTCGAGATGGGCCAGCCGGGGTGGGTGGGTGGAGAGGGGTTGTCTCCATCTGAGCAGGTGGAGCAGCTGTCTGTAGAAGAGATTTTGCAGTCTGAGGAGGGACATGGTGTTGACTTGGAGTGCAGGGTTGCTTCTGTGGTTTAGATCCCTGAGGTGCAAGATAAGTGGATTGGGGAAGAAGTCAGCGTGCCCTGGAGCCCTACCAGCAGGCAAATTCCCTCTTGAGTTTAGTAGTTTTATCTTTCTGTCATTTTACCACTTTTAATACAATTGCTTCGACAGCAATTCGCAGCACAGTTTTATTCTTGCCAATATTTTGAAATTTTAAATATTTAAAGGGCTTTTGATTCGCCCCACGCTCATCTGAGTGATGTGCTAGGTCTCCTTCTGAGCCATATAGCAGAGAGGATGAGCCCCTGGGGTCAGCAGAGCAGCTCACCGTCCCACCATGCATCCTTGCCACAGATATGCAGGCAAACCTTGCACATGCCTCTATTTCCCTGGGCTGCCATTTGTCAAGTTCAGTTCAACTGAGGTTTCTAGACAGCCCAAAAGGCCTTCACAAAGCTTTCCTGCATTTGACATGAGCAGTGACTTCTACTTGATTCAATCACTGCTTAATTTGATCCTCCATTTAATTTTATCAAAACTGCAGTAATCAAATAATTTGTACTAAAAACATTACAACTTCCACTTGTTTATTCTGATCAATTTTAATCCTTTAAGGCACAAGGTTTATTGGATAACTTAGTTATGAGATAACAAAATGCTGCCATTAAATCTACAAGGAAAGGACTGAACATACACAAAAAAATGAAAGTTAAGAAGATCACAAGGAGCGCTCATAACGCAGGAAAAAAGACAATAACACACTGTTATTTAGAAGTCATGCTACGCATGATGAAAGCTAAGCAGCATCCTGCTGTTTGTGAGATGGGAAGATCAATGGCATGTTTCAGTCTAGACATTTCAGGCAATGAACTGCGCTGAAAAGGGGAAAAGAATGTAATTGGATGTGAATGAATTTTCCTTTTTTGAGTGTTGACCCACATGAATGAACATGCGTCAGCGATGTTTGAGTTTTCCCTCTGCGCAATAAACCCTCAAAAGCCAAAACCAGCTGAGTAAGAGGAAGGGGAAGATTTCCACTGCAGGCTGTTCCTCTGTTGCTTTGAGAAATTGAAACACTGGAATCATAGAATCACAGAATCAACCGGGTTGGAAAAGACTTCTGAGATCAGCAAGTCCAGTCATTGATTCATCCCCAACGTGGTTACCAGACCACGGCACTGATGCCACATCCAGTCTCACCTTAAACACCTCCAGGGATGGTGAATCCACCCTCTCCTTGGGCAGCCCATTCCAATGTCTGCTTAATCTCTCTATAAAAAATTTCTTCCTAATATTCAACCTAAACCTCCCCTGGCAGAGCTTAAGACCAAGCCCTCTTGTTTTTTTGCTGGTTGCCTGGGGGATGAGACCGACTCCCACCTGGCTACACCCTCCTATCAGGGAGTTGTAGAGAGTGATGAGGTCTCCCCTGAGCCTCCTCTCCAGGCTAAACAACCCCAGCTCCCTCAGCCTCTCCTCACAGCACTTTTGCTCCAGTCTTGTTGCTCTTCTCTGGACCTGCTCCAGCCCCTCCATGTCCTTCCTGACCTGAGGGGCCCAGAGCTGGACACAGCACTCAAGGTGTAGCCTCACCAGTGCTGAGTGCAGGGGAAGAATCACTTCCCTAGTCCTGCTGCCCACGCTGTTCCTGACACAGGCCGGGAACTGATAGGACCTCCCGTCCCGCTGATCCTTCTCATCCCTTGACGGTGCCGCCTCTCTCTCCTCCGCAGGCCAACACCTTCATCTCCTTCGTGTTCCCCATGGTCGTCATCTCCGTGCTCAACACCATCATCGCCAACCAGCTCATCGTCATGTTCAAGCAGGCGGCCCAGGAGAACCAGGTGTGCACCATCGGCGGGCAGCAGACGATGCTCAGCATGTCCATGGAGCCCGGCCGCGTGCAGGCCTTGAAGCACGGCGTGAGGGTCCTGCGTGAGTATGGGCTTGTTTGGGCGTGGGGCTGGGCTAGAGGTGTCTGAGTAAACGTGGCTCCAACAGGAGCGAGTTGGAATCGGTAAACGCTTTCACTCAAAACGTCCTTTTCCTTTGTTTTCGCTTGTTGACGCGCAAAGATAAAGGACAGAGCTGTTGGCGTACAGAGACTCTCTGAAAAAGCAAAACTAGCCCAGCATTTTAATGATCTGGTCAACAGCAACTTAAGCCTTGCATATATATCACTTCACTCCTCTCGTTTTTCTGCAGAGCTTTGGTTCAGGCAGAGCTCAACTAAAAGACCTTGCACTCAGGAATTGAGCTGTTCTGCAAAATACTGGACAGCTTGATTAAATAAGCTGAGGAAAAGGCCAAAGAATCTGGTAGCTTAAACTTAGAGATGATAAAGCAAGAGCTGTTCAAAAGTACTACCCAAAATAGCTAAGTATGCCTGTACTGGTTTTAACCATTACATGGTAAGAGTTTGTTAGCAGAAAGCTTTCTGACTGGGATTTAGAAGGGTTTGGTTTGGAAGGGACCATAAAAATCGCCAAGTTCCAAACCACCTGCCATGGGCAGGGACACCTTCCACTGTCCCAGGTTGCTCAGAGCACCCTCCAACCCGGCCTTGAACACTTCCAGGGGTGTGGGCATCTGGGTAGTGCTTTGCCCAGGTCCATATTTCCAGCAAGGAGAGGAATCCCTAGAGAAGGCTCCAAGAACCTCCATGAGATTTTTCCAGCAGTTTTTCACGAGGGATGCAGCCCATGCAGCACTTTCTGCCCATGCCATAGGTGAGCCACCACATGGCTCCCATCTTATAATCCTGCACTGGGAAACACCTACTGAGAAAAAGGAGAACTAAATTCCCCATAATTATCTTGTTGGACCGTGTTTATTTACTGTCTCTGCACCCCAGTGAACTGTTATCCACAGGGGGATGAGGAGGGAGCCTTGCTTTGGCTCAGAGCCTGCAAGGACTCAGCTCCCTGCTATCCTTTTCTGTTTCTTAACACTTCTGCCTGCTGCCATTAAGTGAGAAGCTGCCTTTTCTCACTTTGTTACCACACCTCACACCTCTTTCTCCTTTTAGCGTCCTCTTTAATCATCAGGAAGAGAGAGATCTCCATGAATAATAAGAGAGAAATCTAAATTTACACCTGGTGCTGCTTGGCAGTGGTGGAAGTGCACCCCTTTCCCACAGGTCCACGTCTCCTCCAAGGCACTGAAAAACAGCCCTTCTCTTTCTGATCAATGAGTGTAATTTTCTTTTCCCTCTTCTTCTTCTCCTAGAAAATTTTTGCTTTTGTTGTGTACTGCAAAAGCTGAGAACAGGCGGCCAAAGTGAGGAGGCTGAAATGGTGCAAAAGGGTGTACCATGAGGCCCCCTGGGCAGTGATGCCCAGATATTCCATGCACCTGTGCATCTCTGCAGGGCCAGCCTGGCAGCAGGACTGAGCTCTGCTCCCTGCTAGGAAGGCAATGAGAGGGTGGCTGCTTGTTGCTTTTCTGTGCTGAGGAAGATCCAGCAGATAAAAAAACCCCTTGCTCAGTTTTGTCTGTGATTCACTCCACTGTGATTTTCCACTGTGCAGAAAAGCTTTTTTTTTAATCCAAATGTGAGTGAAATCCTTCTGCATCTCATTTTTCAGATGCACTTGATTACTGGTGGTGCTTGATTCACATTTACTTTTGTCATTCGTTCCTCATGACGTGTTTTTTTTAATAAACCAGGTTTCTGAGCTGTCAGAAAAGTAGCAAAAAATACACAAGGATGCCCATGATTTATCCAGGCATCCATGGCAGCCAAAGTCTTGGCTCATTTATGGAAGAGGATGGGAAAAGAAAAATGACACTTGCCCCCACTAATAAAACTGTTGGCACAAAATCAGAGCTTCATGGGGGTCAAAGTATTTTCCATTTCCAAAAGTGAACTTTGGCCTGAAGAACAAAGAGGCTGATTTTGGATTAAGGGGGAAATGTGTCTGAACTTGTAAAATTAGTGCTTAGAAAAGAAATTTTTGCAGCTCGTGGTGTGCAGAGCTTTTGGATCAGATCACAGCAGAAAAAAAACTTCCTTGCTCCAAATATACTGAGATTTAAGTATTTGTTTACATTGAAACAGGAGATAAAAGTGGTCAGGCTAACAGCTTCATTCAAAACATCCACAACATCATTTTCCTCCTCTTTGGTAGCATTGATGCATTTTCTTGGCTGTGTCTGAGTATAATCATGTATAAAATAACGAGGGTGATCGGGATCGGGGTGAGAGTGAGAGTGGTCAGCCCTGTTGCCAGGGAGTCACCTCATTAATTCAGTAAGTATGTGATTCCTGACTATAATTCCCCCTCTGCTGTCAGCGTTCACCAGGTGTGAGGATCCAAATTCAGAGAGTTGCAAGCACTGGCAGCTTCCCAGCTCTTTTCTGAAGATAACAGGGCAGCCAGTTCTGTTGTTAAAAATACCTCACACCAAGAGATTTCACACTCTCCTTCCTCCATCCAATTCCTTTCATTTCTCCATCTATAAACCACCTCTAATTTGTATTATTATTTATTGGCTGTATTAGAATCCTGGGATGCTGAGTGTCTCAGAGCTGTGTGATGCTTCACAGAAAGTTGAATATTCTCTGTTTGCATAGCCTGATATGCCAATCGTTTGATAAAATTCTAAATAATTCTTAAACACTCACATGCACACAGACCCAACAGAGCAATCATAGAATCACAGAATGATTTGGGGTTGGAAGAGGGCTTAGAGCTCTTCTAATCCCACCCCCTGCCATGGGCAGGGACACCTTCCACTAGACCAGGTTGCTCAGGGCCCCGTCCAACCTGGCCTTGAATGCTTCCAGGGATGGGGCATCCACAGGTTCGCCAGGTGACCTGTGCCAGGGCCTCACCACCCTCACAGGGAAGAATTTCTTCCCTCTTCCAATTTAAAGCCATTCTCCTGTGTCCTGTCACTCCATGCCCTTGTTCAAAGTTCTTCTCCAGCCTTCTCAGAGTCCCTTCAGATACTGGAAGGCTACAAAAAGGTCTTCCTGAAGCCTTCTCTTCTCCAGGCAGAAAAACCCCAGTTTTCATAGCTGTTCCTCACAGGAGTGGAATTCCATCCAACAAGCAGCCTTCAGTGGGTGAAACCTCATTTACTCTGCTCAGGCCTTTGCATTTTGTATCCAGACAGAGAGAGCAACAGAAACCTTCTCCACCCCGTCACGTTCCAAACAGCTGCTCAAAAATCACTATTTGAGGTTGGCTCAGGATGGAAGCACTGCTCAGCCAACATGTCTTCCTGAAAGGGGGCAGTTTGGTGGCATGGATTTATATCCCCACCAACACACCTGCCTGGAGCCCGTTCTCCTCCGAGCAGCCCTCGGCACCTCCCGGGTGCCTGTCAGATCAGTTCCCACGTGGATGGAGGGAAGGAGTTCCTGAGTGGCACAGCTGAGCTCTGATAACGACGTGGAGACAAATTGATGGACATCAAGGGGAGGCTTTACATGTCCCTGGATGGACGTTGGCTAAGCCTATTAAAATGTAATCAGTTCCAGGTAGCATTTGCTCTGTTACAGAAGCTGCTTAGTGAAAGCAATTATAAAGCACTTAGAGGTTTAACCAATTAAAAGGATATCCTTCAGACTCCCACAGCTGGCTGGGTGATGCCTCAGTTAAATGCTTTATAGCAGATGAAGTCAAACCATGTTTTTTTCCTGAACACTTAGGAATTTTTAAATGATGATTTTGGGGTCTCTGCATCTCTTCAAGTAATACGAGACAAAGGCCAAGAATTAATGATGTATCTGCGCATTTCATTAATTTGTGCATTAATAATTCCCCTTCTGAACAAATACTTCGAAGAATTCATTCATTTCTCCTCACTGATGCTGCAAGTCTGAGTTATCCATTTCAGGAGGAGAGCATTACCATGAGATTTAGTATAAACATCCTACAAACAGGAATAGTAAACAGCTCATACTTTGCAGCCACAATACACAGAAGAGCACCCGTCTAGAAATCCTTAAACAGATGTGTTTCCTAATTCCTATATTCTAAGGGAAACAGATTTGTTTGTTCATGAATAATTTCTTATGCAAGAAAGGAACAAAATTCATGGCAGTTTGTATCTCTAATAAAAGGTCTGAGCAACTCCAAGTGGAGCTCAGCAAAACCCCTGTGGCATTAAGCATGAGTGGAAGCCGAGTTTAACAGCTGAAGTGTCACACTGAAATTTGAGAGGATAAATTACCTATTTAAGAGTTGTATATATTTCCCAGAGATGTTTGTACTTGTAGGTTTTCTTTACAGCCTGGCAAGTGACATGAGAAGCAGAATTGGAACTCTCTGTAAACACCATCCAAGGAGCAAAAAAAGGGGTGCACCTCTTGGGGCAGGGAGGCTTTTCCCCCTCTCCCTTTGCTGGCACCACAGCTTGGGCTGTCACAGCATTCCTGCTGGGATTTAGGCTCTTGTAGAGACAATTCCAAGACTAGTCATGCCCTGCAAGCAGATTTTTCCAGGTGTTAAACCTCGACAATGTGAGTGTTTGAACCTGCTGAGGAGAAGATGGGAGCCCTTACCTACCTTTCAAAGGGTAAATTTTCTTCCTTCTTCCTTCTCCTCCAAACATCCAGACATCCCCAGGGGGAATGGCATGAACGAAGTTTAAGTTAAATCAGGCAACTTCTTCTTTGATTTCCCAAAAAGTAATTGTCTTTGAAGGAAACTTGGGAAGAGACCCCAGTTTGCACTGGGACAGCAGATGTGCTGCTTGCTGGAGCCTGTTTTTGGGCCAGCTTTAACCAGTGTTTTCTGCCTTGCTCCCTATGGATGAAACTGGTGCCAGGGCACGATTTAACCAGCAGCATGAGCTGGGTCAGGAATTCACATTTTTTTCAAATCTGTCATCTGAAGCCATTGAAAACCAGAGCTGGAGAATATAGTCTGAGCGAAAAATGTTGATTTTGCATGCCAAAAGTTTTTTCCATTAGCTGTGCTTTC